GATTTAGAACATTCCACTGTAGTTACCGATATAGTTACCATTAATTCATTTTTAATTAATCGTGTGAGCTTTTGTTATAACATAAAAATTAGGTACACAGTTACTAGATTAGTTTAACTGTAAATTATTGGTAATTGTATGCGTAATAATGAATTAGGATTTTATTTTAGTTTAAAAATGCAACTCCAAAATTAAAACGTAAGAACTGCATTACTAATATATATATATATATACTATTAATGCAATAAAATATTTTACAATTAAGTCTACACATCGAAACATTGGTAAAATATTATCGGAAAATGGACAAATATTAGATCATAATATGTGCGGCTACACGGCTTGTGCTCGGCAGTCGAAATAGATAGGTAACATTGTACATTGTTTATATTATATAATAAACGAAAAAAGAAGGGAAAATTTCGTTTTTAATAGTAAAGTAGGTGCAGCCTTGGTCGATGGCAACTAATCGTGCCGGGGGGAAGGGGTAGTGTATTTGGAAAAACGAATAAAAGCTGTGTGATTTGGTGCGTGAAGCTATATATGTTGTGGAGGGGTCGGTAGCGAGCGGTTCCTTCACGTCCACGAGGGTTGTCTTGGGAAGCATTTTGTTCATAAATGTCAGCGACTCGGAAAACAGCTCGCCCGTATCAAATCCGACCCCTGTACCCCACCCACCCTATTTGTAAACCATCGAACTCCTTCACCGTCATGGCGACAAAGGATTATTAATTTTACCTAATACTGTATTGTTCGCTTTCATTACTTTAACGTTAGTTTGAAATGTGCGACTAGCTATATATAATTTATAAATACGCGTGCCCGTACACTCACACACACACACACACACACACACACAAACACACTTACATGCATACATAAACACACATACGTTTCATGCATTTAGTAACGTAATTATTAATGTAAGGCCTTTGGGAAATATATTTTGAGCCAAAATTGTTAAAATTTTGAATTTTAAAATTGTCTTACTATCGATATTAATAAAATTAATATAGTTTATTTCGTGTGCCATATGTAAATATGTTTTCAAAACATTTTATTAAATTATTATTTAATTTATTACTTACATGTTGTATAGTGTAATATGATTTACAATATTTTACACATTATTTTATATACATTTAGGAATTATAATAGTTAGTATATGATAATAAATATTAGAATACGATTATTTATGCCAGTTACTGGAATTAATTATTTAAGTAAATGTAAATTAATTTTCTCTATAATATCCTATGAAGATTTGAGACTCCATTTTTTACTATTCACGCAGATCGATCACCAAAAAGACATTTTTGAGTGAATAATATTATTATATTATAAATACAACATTTAGTTCAACATTTTTTTTCTGAAACTGTATAATATATGAATAGTCCCGACTTAATTTAAGAAACAAACATTTGGGAAAAAAAAGGTAAGATTTTCTGGAAAATAAAAATACTGTATGTACTTCAGTTTTTAAAAATAAATGTTTGTTAGCTCTTAAAACACAACCTCAACCTTTTGAAGATTGATTTACGTAAACGAGATTTTGCTTTATCACTTATGTGGGCGATAAAAATGACAAAGTAATAGTTCGGGAAGCCCATTAAATATTTTTTATTACGAATTACTTTTAATCATCGACACGATATTTTTTGAATACTATTCTACTAAAAAATATTTCTGATAAGTTTTTGAAATAATATGCAAAAATCATAACTGTCAGTTATAATATGATTAAAATTTGTAGTAAATAGATGTGTAAAAAAAAAAGCTTAAGTACTTATTTAAAAAAAGGTATTATTATTGGCATTAATTTAAGTGAATTTTCTAATGTATAATTTTTTGATAGGTTTCTTTCTAAACTTTTTAAGGCATCAAATATAAATATAAATATTTTGACGTTTTCCTAGTAATCAATTATTACTATATAAACCATATACAAAACAATATTACCTAATAGGAAACGAATATTAAACTTAGTTTTTTCAAATTAATGAAATTATTTCCATTTTATAAACAGCGCTTACTTTTGTAGAAAAGTGATCAAACCACTTAAAATATTTATCGTAATAAAAGTGATAAATTAACGTGAAATTCGCGAATCAGAATATTTCTATGAAATAAGTAAAAATATAAATAATTTTTGGTTGATTTGTAACAGTAAATTATTACGATAATATCAGAATGATAAATATAATTATTTTACTAGTGAAGGTATAAATACATGCTTAATACAACTGTCAACAATAAATTATAATTACAATAAGTTATAATAACAGTTCTTGAACATATTTCAAACCAACAATATTTTTTTTATAAATTTGGTAATTATCTAATAATTTATGTTTCAACATAAGACCTTATTTTGTGTAATATGTCACTAAAAAAAACTAATATTACAAAGTATTTTTTTTGTCATTTATTATTTTAGTATTTTACGATGTTTATTTTATATTTTCATCTTTAGAATTATTTTGATATTAATAGGAATTAGGTTTTCATCAGAGAATTGAAAATTTAAATTTCAGATTTTTACGTTCGATTAAAGAGGCATTCGCATTTTAAAATTCGTATACGTTTATTTATCCGTGCGTAGACTTAGTGTTTACCATAACAACTTATTGTGTAGTTTTATATTCAAAGTAAAATATTAATAAACCATTTTCTATAGTGTGTGTTGTGATATAAAAACAATTTGTTTTTTTGGATAACATTTAGGCACTTATGTATCCTTACAAAACAAGATTTTGAATTGAATGTTTTATTATGCTTTAGAATATAGTTTTTTTTTTATATAGTATATGTTGTATAGCTATAATTATTAAACGCCTACGACAAATAAAATATTTTAAGAAATTATCCTTACAATTCAGATTCTCTATACATTACAGATTTTATTAAAAAGAATGGGAGCACTGAGTACAGTACACAATTTCCGTTCGGATGACTGTACACATTTGAAAGGATTGGAGTACATTAACAACCCTTAAAAGTATTTTCAAGTAGCAAATAAAAATAAAATGTAAACATCCCAAAATAAACAACAACGGTTTAAATGGAATGTGGTGGAATTATACACAATGATAAATATGTAAACTATAATTCTAAAAATAATTGGTACCTAATTTACACTTTTAGACAATAACTGACGAGTAACAACATCAAACTGCTGAATTTTTAGTTTTTAATTTATAAGTGTCACATTTGTTATACAATTTAGAATTTCTTGTATAACGTACGTACCTGCAATTTCGTTAATCTGATTTTAAAATCAATTTAAATAATCAAACACCATATTCAACTTTCGGCTTCTTAGAAATCGGATCAACAGAATGTGTGGTTTAAAAAATATAATAACTTATGAACAATGTAATAATACGATGTAATCGTTTAAGCGAAATAACATTAATGAATAATAATTGTAAATGACACATTCTACATCTATTGTTCCTACTTATATTATCAATAATTATACTAGTGTTACACACCATGTTTCTTTGTAGTATATATTATTTTAATATTTATTTTCGGTAGTTTGTCTGTCAGTAAATAATTGGACGTATATCATCAACAACAGTACTCCTAGTTCACAAAAGTACAAACCCACATACTTTTCCAAAAAAAGGTGTAAGATCTTCTATCACGATTTTACTGAATTTAGTTAATTTAATTTTGCCGAATTAAATAGTTTTTTAATTTAGTTCCATATGGCTGACACATTCAAAACTCATACTCGATCTTCGTGATGGTAAAAGTTCACAATATGATCGTTAAATATATTTAATTTAAACTACATAGAAAATAATAGTAAACAACAACATTTCTAAATCGAAAATACATTCTCTCGTACGTTCTCTACAAACATTAAAAATATTACAATGATAAATTACCATAAATAACTGATAAATTATTTTCAGAAAAAACTAAAGCTTCATTACACATTGTATTATGTCGTACATAAATAAACCAAAAAAATATATAAATACATGTGTTATAAAAAATCCGATTCGCTACTTTTATACACACACACAAATTACTGTTGTGATACTGTTGAATGAATGAAATATAATATCATATTGTATGACCATAAATTGTATATTTATACATTTGCGTGATAGCGGATCTGATTTATCCATACGCATAACGTTATCAACGATTTTAACGATGATTGTCTGTTAATTTTTATGTTTAGATCTGTAACTTTAAACGCAAATTGAATAACTTATTATTTATACCTCGAAAATTAATGACCTAAAAACATTAAAAAATGACTAAAAAAAAAGATGCAAATATGACATAACAATTTTAAAAGATGACTTAAAAAGTAACAAACACCAAAAAATGCATAAAAATGCAAAATAAAAATTAGTTATTTGGATTCACATGTTAAAAACACATTTATGGCCAGAAGAGAATCGTCTAAGAAGTTTAAAAAAAAAAAAAAAAAAAATGCAAAATGCATTAACTTCCGAGTCCTAATAATAAGTAATAAGACGATATTAAATCACATCTGATGTTTATTTTTTCTGTAATAAAGTTTATCGAATTTAATTGATTTTCAGATGTATAAAAGTCTAAATACTCGTGGACCTTAAAGTATAAGGTCTACAGTTAAACTATTAAATTACACGTGTGGCAAACTGTTATTTGTGCTAAATAAAGTATGATACTGCGATTGTATACTTGTATTTTATCACTTCTTGATATTATTATTATTATTATGATTGGTATTGCAATTTTTTTTTGAATATTAAAAAATGTTACAGTGATTCGAACAGGTTTTCATAAACATTTTTCAAAGATAATATCGTTCAAAAATATGTTTTATTCGTCAATTCCATTTGAATCCGTTATCAAACAAATCACGTAGGAATGAAATGTTGTAGTTCGTAGTTTTATTAAGCCAGAAAAATGTGGTGAGAGACTAATTGTTATTAACCAATATGTGTCTAATATGTCTTAATAAAATAAAATATACGTATATGTCTAACCTGTGTCTGGAATAGAAGCATACTCGATGGACTTGGATATGGCGGACCAGTGGAGTGGTATACTTCGTTGGAAGTATCTTCTTTTCCTGAAAAATTAAAAATAAAAATAACTTGTATTTAATTTGTTTTATCACTCACACTATAATTGAATAGTAATGTAAATAATTATATATGTAATTAATATAAATACTATTCTATAAGACGCGCATTTGTTTGATAAAATTAATTTCAATATGTTATAGTATTTTTAGATTATAATAATACTCTAATGCAGGGATAGTTTTAGGCGGTTGCTATAGGGCTGAAGCACCGACCGTTCTGCATGTTGAACTGATTTTGTACTTCTATAAATTGCTTATACTATATATCAGATATCACCATTTTTACTGTACAACGTATAGTGTAGTAATAACGAATTAAATATTGAATAAAAATGTTTTCCTAAACATAAAAATCCTATTACAAATATTTGCTACACTTTCAATTTTTACTGTAACCACTGAAAAATCATTTTCGATTTAAAAAAATTCTATTATAATTATAATGACTTAGTTTAGATTAAACGGCTTAGCATCATTAAATATTCATAAATATATACTTATAGATATTGATGTTGTTGTCAATGAGTCAGATAGAAAAAAAGAATGTAATCAGAGGACTGGTAAATTTAAACTTAAACTGTAAATTATATTGCAATGATATATTATGAAATAATATTAAAATATCCATAATGTTTAGATACAATTATGTATGTAAGCTATAAATATATTTGTATTGTTTATAATTTAAAATTTTTTTTTAGCGATGCCGGTACATTATGTACGTATTATATGTTTATAAAAAATAAATGTGTTAAAAATTAGCATACACATTTTTGTTAAATAACATCATGGGTATTTACGAAGACGGAAGCTTATAAATTTCTAGAGAGTAAACAAAATACTCGCACACAACACGACTGATTTTCCTGAACATTTAAATCACAAACGATTGGTTTGCTTTTGTCTCGAAGTGGTTTATCGAAATAATTATTAGCAAAACCGCACGAGAAAATGTTAGGTATAAAATAATAAACCGTAAACGTATTTCTAACAGCCGGCTGGTCTGCGTTTTACCCGGTCGGTCCGAGCGCAGATGAGCTACGCGCGTCGGTCAGAAGATATTGGCGGAATGTTCGCGTTCGCAGTAACGATCATCACACCGATGTCTCGTTAGGATTTCCACCCCAACAGTATACGACCCGTAGTGGTGAGAAAACCGTCGTATAATGTGAATGGACAGCGCCGTCTCGTGTACACAGGGAACGCGTAGTGACGTGTACGTCAATATTTACTAACCTTTTCTGTAAGACGATAACATGTTGGATATGTCGCCGGTTTTCGAGGGACGATCGTGCGACGGAGCTATTTTATTCGGGGCCTGTATGATCCGTCATTAGTTATGTCGTAACAAAGAAATAAAAATAAAATGCAATTTCGAAAAGGAAAAATCCAAAAGAAATACCTCTGACGTTGAACACTTGACGCGTTTACCGACAATGTCACGATTACGGAGTGCAAATATTGTATGTTAGTTAGCGTATCCCGGTTTTTATATACCGGCGAACCCTTAGGCCAAAGCTGTACAATGGGCGGGACTAAACGTCCCCGAGGAACGTCCTACCCTGTCAGTGTGATATAACAATACATGAAATACATGCAAAACATAAAGCGTTTATTATTATTATTATTATTATTACTTTTATCGTTATTATGAACTGTTATGTTTCGACGTGCGCGCGTTTCAGGTTTCAGTTCGTAAACATGACCGGGGCGAACGGTATTATAATGGAAAAAGTCAATCACGGCCCTCAGACGCCCCATGTTTACATTTCTATCTGTTATAATTGTGACGCCGTTTTCAACGCTGACCCTCGGACGATCATAGATCGTATTTATTATTATTACTGTCGTAATTTATACCGAACTTGAGTTATTGGTTTTCCTGGATATTTTAACGCGTATGGTGACTGACTACGATGCTATATGTATTTGATTTGATTTTTTTCGTTCACACAGTATTTTATGTACACACGAGAAGGTGCGCGGATTGTTTTTATATAAAAGTCCGTCTTCGAATCAAAATTGAAGACGGAAAACGATTGTAGTAAAAGTAAGAGTAAACTTCTCGTAAATTAAATTTTTTTAAACACTTGATCTTGTACAAGATTTGAAGTTGAGCTTTTTTTCAATATGGCTGCATTATGAATATAACATAATAGTAAATTGCTTCTTGGAAATCAATAAACTAGATAGACGAGTGCTGCGAGATTTATGAATTGAACTTTTGAGAATTGTAATACTCGTACGATTTCATGGCTATGAGGAATTTATTTATATATTTATCTAAATGGTACAATAATCATTGGATTAGAGTTAAATACATTAAAGGTAAAGAAAATAATCATTTTTTTCTCAATATGATAGGTGTTATTATATGCTTTGAATTAATTATGAAACGATATTTTTATTTAACTTTTTAATATTAATATTTTAATTGTTTCAAATGGAAATATGAATATGCTGAACTGCCATTAATCAATTAATTATAAACGAATTAAAATTATATTTTTGTTTTATAAGTTATACAAATTGTTTCAAAAAGATTTTAACTTGCTGTTTAATATTTTCATGTGCTCGAATACTAATTTAGTTTAGGTATCTAAAAATGTGCTAACACTATGATTTTTTGACAGACAAAATTAAAATTAAATTATTCCTATACAATAAAATATAATTTAAATTAAAATTAAATTTCCAAGGAATCAATTTCAGTTCAAATTTATCTGAAATATAATTCCATTACTGTTTTGTCAATCAAGCATAATTTACTTTTTAAATTAATAAAAATTACAGTTATTTATAGACTGTAATATTATACATGTGTGATTAACTTTTTGAGCTATTGATGTAACTTTCTAAAATTGTGTCATAAACATATTATGCGTTCCTTGTATTTGTAAGGGGTTCCAGAACAAGCAATTTTTTAAACGACATGCTCAAACTATCTGAACACTTTGTAAAACGATAATATGTGTTCGAATTCACTTTTGTATAAAAATAAAAAAAGTATAATATTCGTTCAATTATTTTTATTTACGTAAATATTTTTGAATGATTAAATCTTTAAACAAACTATTTCTTCAACTTGTAGTTGTACAAATATCAGTTTGTAACAGTATAACACAGATTTTAATAAATAATTAATAAAAATCAGATATAAATAATTTATTATTTTCATCCTGCTACTTGTTTATAAAAGAAATGAATTTATAATTATGTACACAATTAATATGTTATATATATATGTATATAACTATGACATTAAAAGTAGGCGTTTAAAGTATATGTATAGGTTTCCGTTTAGTATTAAAAAATCAGTTTTCATGTCCACTTACGTGCAGTAAACAATATATATACATTTTATTTTTATTGTATACTAATGATCAGAACTCACGGTAGACATCGTTTTATTTATTTAAAGTATTTTTAAAACTACTGTCGATATTATGAAAAATGTTACATGATTATACCTATTAGTTGATTTGAAGTTACCATTATAATACATAATTGTCTCGTAATACATTTTCTATTAAATGTATTTATTTGCAATTATATTTTATACACTGTGGCCAAATAATATGATGTGTAGATTTGTTCACAGTAAATTAGTAATGTCAATTTTACTTTCAGCATATTGAATTTGATTTGGCCATGCAATGCAATTAATGGTTGATAGTGTAATACTGAGTAATTATTAACCAATAATTACTTAGTATTATAATTTAAATTAGTTATTTTTTCTCCATTGAAATTGCCGTTCCTTTTTAAAAGTTTAGTTCTCGCCCTTTTCATTCAAACCAACTTTTAGTCGACAATAAAATGGAAAATTCCTTGAGATTGATTTTCTGAGCATATTATTAATTTCTATACGATTATATGAATTCAATTTCAAATTAATTGTTTATTTATTCCAATTAATAAATAATATTAAGAAATAAAAAGCATTCTAAAATGCAAATCGAAGAAAACGTGGATTATAACTAGCAAAACTAGAATAATTAGTATTAAGTGTATCTAAATAAATGTTTTCTGTTCATTAATTATAAACATTAAAAAATAATAATAGGTGCAAATTAATATGAAATATTTTAAAAAAAATTGTTCTAGAGAGTTAATAATAATACTTAGTAACTGAAATTTAAAAATGTACTTCGATATTTTAATAAACAAGGAAGAAAGGTACAAATATTATAGTTAATTAGTAGGTACATGTTTAAAGTTTAGAACACAAATCTAAGTAACATTTTTTCAAGGTATTGCAGAATGGTTTATATTTGAAAAATCACCATGTGTTTTATTTCAAATTTATAAATTATAATTAGAATCTAATAAATTAAAGCAAATTATTTAAGTACAAATTAGAAATCGTATATTAAATGTATTGTTATATTTTTTTCATTATAGTTCATTCAATATAGTTAATCCAAACAATTTTTATATTTATACGGTATTCTAGAGACGAGTTTTTGTATAGTATAGGATACAGATAGGATGATTATCATAACGTATAGATGATCGTCGTAACACAGAATATCGATAAAGTAATACGAAAACATAAAAATAGTTTCAAGAACGGAAGAAACATATTGAATAAACGTTATGTATAAAACTCGATTCACTACCGCGTCTTCTTGTTTATGAATAATAATACGATTTTAACATCAATGTTACGTTCGAATCGACATTAAATTGATTACCAACGTTATGTATAGCATCAGTCTATACATGTGCACGGAAAAATTATGTCTTCTCGGGGAGAAAAATATACGATATTTACCAACGTCATGCGAATACGGATTCCCTCCTCTATGTATATATTACCGGCAAAGTAGACCATCGGGCAATGTGAACATTGCCCGGTTTATGTATACTATGTATACTTTGCCCGCTGTTTTTGGGCAATACATTAAAATACTATTTTGACCGGGCAGAGTAATACTTTCACCGGTCCAAGTATACTTTGTCCGTAGTAAATTAAACATTGT